ACAGGGGAATTAGGTAAAAGTCTATAGAATGAACAGAAGGACCCAGGCCCCTTCCCACCACCACTCCACCCCCAAAGCTGTAGAATGCCAGAAGCTAGGCTTACAACCCTGAATCTATCCCAACACAGCCCCAGCAGAAGGGCAGGAGAACCCTTCTCCTGAGCAGCCAAAGCACTCCAGAGGTAAGGCCTCAAGTTGTGACACCCATCACCCCAATGAAAATTTCTGCTCCCCATCTCCGGTTACCTACAGTGAGATCCACCAAATGACAAGCTCTACTGTCAGACAGAGAACACTGACCTAGCTTTTCAAATGCATCTTCTTCGATACTAAGACAAAGCTAAGGATCACCAGAAATGTAAGGGAAGCTTCCAACATAACCAGGACAGCAAAATAAATAGAAAGCAGGCACTCAGAGGACATAGACAATTCAGGGAGGAAAACAAACTCTAAATAATGTTGGAGAAGTAACAGAAGACATTCCACCTATGGAGCAAGAGGACTAGAAGCAAGAAACAACCAAAGATCAAGAAAGAAATCTGGATGTTAAAAATACAGGGGTGCCTGGGTGGCTCAATTGGTTCAGCTTACGTGATAATCTCGCAGTTTGTGAGTTCAAGCCTCACACTGGGCTCTGTGCTGACAGTATGGGGCCTGCTTGGGATTCTCTCTCTCTCTCTCTCTCTCTCACTCTCTCTCTCTTAAAAATAAATAACTTTAAAAAACACAATATTCAAAATAAACATTTAGCAGAAGACTGAAAATATAGAGCTGAAGAAATATTTTCAGGGATGCCTGGGTGGTTCAGTTGGTTAAGCATCTGACTTCAGCTCAGGTCATGATCTCATGGTTCGTGGGTTTGGGCCCCATGTCAGACTCTGTGCTGACAGCTCAGAGTCTGGAGCCTGCTTTGGATTCTGTGACTCCATCTCTCTCTGTCCCTCCCCTGCTCATGCTCTGTCTCTCTCTGTCTCTCAAAAAATAAATAAACATTAAAAAAATTAAGAAATCTTTCCAAAAGTAGGACTAAAAAAGTTTATATAATATACTTGATAAAGAATAGTAGAGAATCAATGAAGGAGAGAGAAGAGAAAAATGGTGAGAAAAAAATAACAAAATTTAAATAAAAAACAAAAACAAAACTGCAAGACACTGTTTCCAGACATTGAAAGCTCACTAAGTGCTTGGAGCCGGGGATGGGAGGGATGGAAACCCACTCCAAAGTATATAGTGATGAAATTCAGGAATGCCAGGAGTAAACTGGAAGCTTCTAGAAGGAAAAATAGGGTACATACAAAAGACTGAGAAAAAGAAAGGCCAGATTTCCCACAGTAGCATGAGAAATTAGATGACAATGGAGTAATAACGTCAAAATTCTGAGTGAAAATGATTCATTCAATCTCAAATTCTTTACCCAGCCAAGTTGGCAATCAAATATAATAGTTGAAAAAAAAAAAAGCTATTTCAAGAACAATATTCAGGAAAAAAAAAGTTACAGCCTTTATAACTTTCCTGTAGCTACTGGAGGATGTGCTCTCACAAAATGAGGGAAGAGTCAAAGAAGAGGTCTCCAGGGGCGCCTGGGTGGTTCAGTCAGTAAAGCGTCTGACTTCGGCTCAGGTCATAATCTCACAGTACGTGGGTTCGAGCCCTGCATCGGGCTCTGTGCTGACAGCTAGCTCAGAGCCTGGAGGCTGTTTTTGGATTTTGTGTGTGTGTGTCTCTCTCTCTCTCTCTGACCCTCCCCTGCTCATGCTGTCTCTATTTTTCTTTCAAAAATAAATAAAACATTTAAAAAAAAAAAGAAGAAGAGGCCTCCAGGAGCTCAGAGGAACAAAGGATCCACACTAGGGCAAACAGGATTCCCAGGAGATGGCTTGGGCAGCAGGTCCAGAGATCATCGTGTCTGGATTAGAGCCCAGGCTCTAGGACTCTGATTAGATGACCCCAAGGGATAGGAAATGGGATCATGAGCTTATCAGACAGGTGAAAAATCACAGTGAGATATTTTGAGCCCTTAGAGAGTATAGGAAGCCAGACACACATTCAGAGAAAACAAAGGAAATGAAAATAAAACAATTATTATTCCAGGAAAATCAATGTTGTACAAAAGAAGGAATCTAATCATGACATACTACTTGTGCCTCAGCAGTTAATAATACTGTCAGAATCAAGCATAAAAATATCCAAGAAGGATTTGGCCAAAATATATAAAGGGAAAACTGAACTCCTCATTTACCAAGATAGGAAGTCATACATTATGTCTCACTTTGGTTAATTTATACATTATATCTTAAAAATACAGAGATAAAGGGGCACCTAAGGGTGCCTAAGGGGACCTAAGTCACTAAGGGGTGACTTAGTTAAGTGTCCAACTTCGGCTTAGGTCGTGATCTCACGGTTTGTGAGTTAGAGCCTTGTATTGGGCTCTGTGCTGACAGCTCAGAGCCTGGAACCCGCTTTGGATTCTGTATCTCCCTTTCTCTCTGCTCCTCCCCTGCTCACACTCTGTCTCTCTCTCTCTCCTTCAAAAATAAATAAACATTCAAAATAATGTTTCTAAAAATAAAGAGTGAGGTAAATACCAGAAGAGTATTTGTGATAACTGATAACAATAGCTAACTTCCAGTGAGCGCTGACTGTGTGCCAGGCATCAAGCTGAGAGCTTTACAAGTGTTACTCATGCAGTCCTTGCTTGCAGCCTCTAAGGTGATTCTTAGTGCTGTAGACTAAATGTTTGATCCCACAGCATTCATGGTTTGAAAACTAACCCCCAGGGGGATATTTGCAGGTTGGAGCCCTCATGGATGGGATAAGTGTCCTTATGAAAAGGACTGTAGAGAGATGCCCTACCCCTTCCACCACATAAAGACACAGGGAAATGACCGCCATTTATGAATCAAGAAGTGGAGCCTCATAAGACACCGAATCTGCAGGCATCTTGATCGCGGACTTTCCAGCCTCCAGATCTGTGAGCAATAAATTTCTGTTGTTTGTAAGCCACCCAGTCTATGATATTCTGTTACCCCTGAAGGGACTAAGGGACTATTATCATTACCCTATTTTACAGATGAGGATACTGAGGCTTACAGTTAAGCAACTGGCCAAGCAGAGTGAAGATGCAAATTTAGATTTAACTTAAGAATCGGGGCTCCTGTTCTACACTGTCTTAAAACTTTTGAAGACTTTATTTCCTATGCCATTTTCATAGGCACTGAAAAGAAGCTATGTACCAGTGTGTGCAATGCGCAGACCCATATTTCTTGATGGAAAAAAAAAAAAAAGACTCCTGAGACAAGTGACCATATTCTGTCATCTAAATACGCCCTGATGGGCAGTTCCTCTTCTTTTTTGCTTTCTGATGTTCTAGGTTGGTTAAGTGAAATTAAACCTTTTCTCATTCAAATTTCAAGCGGAACATTTTATAAAATAATACTCCACTGAAAATCAAAAGGAAACAGTGCTGGTTGGCACTAAGGACCAAAACCTAGGCACTGAAATTCTGTCCAATGAGCAGATCCTAATAAACTCCGATGTACTCAGGAAATAAAAGTTATGGTTTTCATATCTTTCTACCTTCTTTTGGAAAGGGTGTGGAAAATTGACCCTCAGATCTACTGCTGGTGAGGTTACAAATTTATCCACTTTGGCAATATTCATTGCAATCTCCTTTCTGGGAATTTATCCTACAAATATGTGGCACACAGGAGAAGTGATATAGGCATGAGATTATTTATTACACCATTATTTTTAATGACTAAAGATTGGAAACTGCCTGTCAAATTACAGAATGGAATTAAATGGAATGTTAGACAGCAGTTAAAAAGAGTGCTTAAGGCATGGACTCTGAATTATCTGGGGTTAAGTCTGAATTAAGTTCGATGTAACATGCAGCACAGCCATCCTGGGTCATAAAATCTTCAATTTTCAAGGATTTGGTCATCTGCTTGTTTAGCAGAGCCATTATTAAAAATTAGGTTATATAAATTTACAGTTAAATAAATAATACAAAGATAATAAATACTCAATTCATTATCTCCTAATTTTCTTATTATACTGTTCTCTACGTCTTCCCCAGGCTATTTAAATCTAAATACCTGTATGATAGAAATATGATCTAATGGTACATGACTGGGCACCTCCCTCCAGCTTGGTGTTCTTCACCTAGTTAGCTTGAAATCAGCCACGGTGGGGATATTTACACCTCCGAAACTGGCAAATGCTACAGATTAGAACATTTTTCTCAGCCATGTGTCACATATTATCAGCATATCATGTGTGTTCTGTACCTCAGTTCTGCCATCTGTAAAATCAAGATAATAATAGAACCTACCTGATAGGGTCGACGTGATGATTAACAAATAAAACATTAGAAGAGTGTCAATATAGGGGTTGGCTATGCTCTGTATTATTATTAGCACAGAAAGATCTCTAAGCTATATTGTTACATATATTTTAAAGCTGGGAAAGTATATATAGAATGCAACCTTTTGGATATAAAACAGGTAAAACTTTAAATACATACTCATAGTTTCTTAGATAAAGAAGCCTTGGGAGAATGCACAAGAAATGAAGTAAAGTACTTACCTGGTTTGCCTCTGACTGGGGAGACAAGGTGGAGGACCTGGGTAAGAGCAAGACTTTTCATTGTACATTATATTTTCACTGACTTTTGTGTTTTTCAACTGCGTGAATGTGTTAGCTACTCAAAACATTGCATTATAAAATAGGTTTTTTAAATCCAATAAGCATCTCTTCCTCATCCGCTATAACCAAAATATTATGAGAGATGCTCTGTGGAGTCAAAAGGGACATGGACAAAGGAGGGACCACGGCCGCTGCCCTCTGCGAGTGTGTGCCCCCCCTGGGGAGAGGAAACGTGCACACGAGACCCGCCTAGAGTGGGGAGCACTAGTCTCACCCTGAGGCACCAACACCACAGGGCTTGGCACTTAATTCATGAGCTGGGTGACATGAAATGGCTCTTTCAAGATACTTACCCTGTTGTATAAGGGATGTTTATGCCCCCTAGATTAATACTTTCACATCCAACGATAAATAGGGTTGAAAAACACAGTAAAGACACACCACTGCAGATCATGGCCAGTTTCGCAGATTCTCTTGCACCAAGTTTCAATTTTTTAATAATGTAGCCTCCCAGGACGATACCCACACCAGCACTGGGGACAATAATAACACCTAGAGAGAAGAAGGGAAGGAGAGGATTAATTTCAAGGTTAACGCACACTTTAATTTGTTTTCTAATTACTCTGTTCCTACTTACTGATTAGGACTAAGGAATAAAAAATACTGCAATCACTAAATCTTGGAATGTGTACAATTTTATAGTAGAATTTATTTCCAACACATACAACCAACAAAGGACACATATCCAGAGTGTAAAATAACTTTTACAAAGCAATAAAATAAAGACAAGCAACCCACTAAAAAAGTGAACGGAACTTGAATAGGCCTTTCACTAAAGAGGAAATCCAGCTGACCGATAAACACATGAAAGTGCTCCCCCTCATTGCTAAGAGGGAAATACAAATTAAAACCACAGTAAAATACTCCTCTATACCACCTGTGTTGATAAAAATTTTAAAGGTCAATACTACCACATGTTGGCAAAGTTATAGAGCAATGGTCACTCTCTACACGGCTGGTGGGATGTAAACTGTGACAGCGACTTTAAGAAATAATTTGCCATTATCTGGTAGAATTGAAGATTCACCCATCCTGTGACAGGCAATTCTAATCCTGGATCTATACCCTAAAGAAACTCAGGCACATGGGGCTCAAAAGAAGCATACCAGAAGTGACCGACCTGAGTGGCTTGGTCAGTTAAGCATCTGACTCTTATTTTCAGCTCAGGTCATGATCTCATAGTTCATGGGTTCAAGCCCCACGTCGGGCTCTGTGCTGACAGCTTAGAGCCTGGAGCCTGCTTCAGAATCTGTGTGTGTGTATCTCTCTCTCTGTCCCTCCCCCACTGGCACTCTGTCTCTATCAAAAAAATGAATAAACGTTAAGAAAAAATAAAAAATAGATACATTGCTTGTTATAAATTCATATAATGAAATGCCACAGCACCAAAAGTGGAGATTGTGATAATGCACAACTATGAGGATGGATCATTCAAACACAATATTCAATGAAAGAAGCAAAACAGAACACATGATGTGATGGCATCTGTAAAAAGTTCAAGTGCAGGTAGAACTAAATGCTTTGTTTAGGAATGCATATATAGGCAGTGCAACTATGAAGAAAACCCAGAAAGCAAGTGTCATAAATCCAAGATAGTAGAGGGAATAAGTGGGGTCAGGAAAGGATACAGGGTGCTCCTGGTATACTGAAAATACTCCATTCCATGCCCTGGGTAATAGTTACACAAATGTTCACTTTTTGATTATCCATTACCTCTAAATTTTTGATTAATGTATTTGTATGCATTGTATTTCACAGCTTTTTAAAAAGTTAAGAAAAAAAGCTATATTGCCTGCCCCAAGGACCTCATAATCTAAAATAAAAATAAAGAAATTAGACTACAATAAAATGATTATACAAAAGGCAACGAGAATACTGGAAAAAAATCATCCTAGCCTTCTCTGAGAGAAATCAGGGAGGCTTCACAGAAGCGGCAGTACTTGTACTGAGCAAAGTATGAAGAGAAAGTAAGGCGAAGATTGAAATGAGACAACTATGTCACTGGAGATCTTGGCAAGAGCAACGTTAAGGATGCTGTGAGGGAAGAAGCTAGAGTCAGACTCTTTCCAGAACTTAGGCTACAAACAGAAAAATAGGTATGGGTCTAGAGTAAGAGTGGAATTAACATAGAGTTGGGGCTTCATTTGCTAAGATTGGAGGGGACTAAGTTAAGTATATTTATATACTGACAAAAATCGACTAAAAAGGAAGGGGAGGTTAAGGATATCTAATGCCAATACACGATCCTTGAGAAGTGAAGATAATATGGAGTTAATAGCACAGATGATCAGATTAGCACTAGACGCGGAGAGAGAGACCCCTTCATTCCAGCCAGGACCAGCATGGGGAAGAATGGGGTGGGGGCTAAGTCAACTGGTGGGTGGTAGCTCCTCAAATGGTAGCTTTTCTGTTTGATAATTTTTCCATTATTTTGCAGACATAATGTATACGTGTTATAACAGAACCCTTGAAAAGCATAGAGAAGTATGAAGGAACAAAAATCCACTGATTACATTCTGGCATATTTCATTCCAGTCTTTTTTCCATGCTTTTTTTTTCCTTCAAGAATTGGTAACATGCTTTTTTATTTTGTTTTACGCCTTTGCTTTTTATTTCTGGTTTTATTTTCCTGTATAAATGAAAACAAAACTAACTCTTAGAGGAAATGGATATTGATCATTTTAAATACAGCCAAGGATTAGAATAATTGTTGTAGGAGAGCAAAATGAGAATAAGTAAATGGAGAGTCCAATGGGTCCAGATGAGACTGGCTTTCAGAAGCCTGTGGTCTCCCCCAGCACACACGGTTGGATGGCTTGCTCCAGGCGTTCAGCGATGCATGTAAAGGAGCAGAGGATTAGATTGATCTAAAATCGGAGCTTTGCCTGCCAACCAGTGTTCACCTTGTAATCCCCAGGACAGCCCTGATTTTGTAGAAATCAGCAATGGCCTTTTCACAGATGAAGAAATTGACAGCTCAGAGGAGTGACTGGCCCCACAGTGCACACAAGGGAGAGAGTGTCTGAAGGAAAGGTGAGCTCTCTGATTCCCTGCCCAGCACTCTGTCCACATCATCACAGATGTCTCTTAGATCCAACAGGTCCCTGGACTCTTTCAGGTAAACTGACCAGAGCTCTGGGCTTAAGTGAGCTGCTTAATAAAGTATTATCTTCGTTAAGGAAGAATACACATTCTATCTATACAAATAAATAGGCAAAACTTTACCTTTAAATTGAAAATGATAAATCCATGAAATCCTTGTTTCAGCTGAACAATTTATACCATTCTAGACCCCGCCCCCAGGATAACAAACAAAACAAACCTCCATGTTCATAGCTCAAGTCATAATTTAAAAGCAATATAATTTATTTGACTATGCATTCTAATTAGTATTAAACTCTTCAAAACAGGACATTTGTCATCAGTAAATACAAGGTTATATTGAACAGAGAGTGAAGACATCTCCTGATGCCCCCCTGTCATCTAAATCTTACTGCACTATTCAAACAGAAATTCTGACCATTCATTCGTGGTGCTCTGTACATCTCTCAGGTCTTCAGCTCAAGTGAGACCCAAATGTCTCCTTGCTAGAATATCAGGCCTAGGGGATGAATAGGGAAGATTGGGCGCTGGGGAGGAGAATGGGGGGCAACAGTAGAGCCTCCTCGCTGCCCCTTCTGAAAGCCCCTGGCTCTGGGAAACCAGATTGTGCCGAGCCTGGAGGGGCTGGAAGTTGGTTGCCCACCCAGCACCACACTCCTCTCTAAGCCTCCCCGACTCGCCCACTCCCTTGGAGGGAGGGGAAATTACAGGCATCTTCTGCTTTTCGAAGTTCACATCACACCACTTTGCATTTACAGAGACCTACATTAGTACCTGTGTTTGCTAACCAAAATAAATCCAGAGAGGATTTTCAATTTGGGGGTGGGGGGGAGGGACAGTGAAAATAGCATTCAGCACTTGTTTTGCAGCAAGGGGTCATAAAGGTAGTAAAAGTGGCCCTGCGAAGCCCCTTCCCTGGGAACCACACCCAGCATCTCAGCACCAGGCCCTGCAGCTCTGAAGTGTCTGTGAGCATCTGTGCTGTATCTCCATTTATTTTGTGTATTGTTAGGAAGAAGTTCCTAAGGTATCAGAAAAACCTAAGAGAGGTTGTTTTTTGACTTGGTAATGCTCAACATTTTTTCCATATAAATTAACTATAATTGCTTTATGCCCTTCCGGTTTATGAAAAGCTTCATTGGAACACTCGACTTTCAGATAGCAGTAAATAAATATATATAAGATGTAAATATATAAGATGGGCTCTCCCAGCAGAAGCTGCCCGCCTGTCACTCACCATGTCTGGGTTCAAATCCACCTCATTGGCTGAGGTTCACCCCTGCCCTCTGTCCCCAGACCGCAGACAGCGCCTCTCCAACTGCCTCCCGGGCTGCTATGAGCTTCTGCTCCCTCTCCAGCTCCTTTCCCAGCCCTGGTGGGAAGGCTGTGCAGTCCCAGTTTCTGCTCCTCTCGCCCTCTAGTGGCCAAGACATGGCTGTGACCCACGGGGTACAAGAGGGTGGGTGGGGAAAAAGCATCAAGCCAGTGTGTGTATGCGGGGAGACGGTGCAGGTCTGAGCTCAGGGACTCAGCTTAAGGTACAGGTGGTAGAGAATAGAAGCCAATGCATTTGCAGATGTCCGAGAGACAAATGCAGGTAAGAGTACAGGCCACGTGGACAGACTCTCTGAGTTCAAATCTCAGCTCTGCCGCTTACAAACTGCATGTCCCTGGACAAATTTCTGAATATTCCCAGGCCTCCAATTTTCTCATCTGTAAAATGTGGATAAGAATAATATCTTCCTCATAGGTTGTTAGCTTTAAATGAGTTAAGAGATATAAAGTGCTTAAAACAGTGTCCAACTCATAGTATATACACTTAATAAATTTTGGTGATCATCATGATCATCATAAGTATGAACATCATTATTATCTACCTAATATTAATGAGTTTAACATTTGCACAAATCAATATATTGAAATTATAACTAAGCAAAAATCTCAATATCATATTTTATCTACAGGATTGAATCTATAGGATTGAACACTAACCTTCTATGTGTTCTTTAACATACAAAGCTTTGTTTGATGTTAAGCTACTATGTATTATTAAATGCATACATCTCTGTTAGCTATTTAGTACTGTGTGCATGTATCTGAATTTAAAGAACTCATAGCTGCATTAATTGTCAACAAAACAGAGGATCCTGCTTGACTTCTTAAAAGGCCTGTGAACATCCTGCTGTTTTCCAGTTGGAAATCTTTTATCTACTTACTTATCCAAGCAAATCAACTTATTATCCTACTTCCTTTCTTTCTCTTATGTCATGCACTATTCCATGATATTCAATTTTGAAGTTTTTACTCTGAGTTGCAATACTGCTTGCCCTTATAAAGTGTAACTCCATGGAGTCAAAAGGTCTCTATGAAAATGATATTCACTGAATTGC